TCTACATATAGATCCCAAAAAAGCATACTTGCGTTCCTTTTATTTATTATCTGATATTTCCCTTAGGATGTATGTGGCATAGTGTATTTACCAAGGTAACTTTCATCATGGGAATTGCTGCTCTTCATAAACTCTTTCTTGGATTGTTTGCATTGTATTTGCCTGTCAAAAAATCCTCTTCTCTATTTGCTACATGAAAGCTCTTATGTTTTATGTCGTCCTCGCAATGTAAGAGGGAATCGATCGTGGCCTCTGACTAAAGCCCTTGGCCTGCTCTGTAGCTGTGTAGTGGGAAGAGATTAAAGCAGAGGTAGCAGAATCAGCTCACAACTATTAAATGCAGTGATACAGAGTTGAGATTATAATGGTTCTCAGAAGCAGTACCCGATCATAATTTAAATTCCTCTGTATTGTTTGGTCAGCAGCAGCCTTGATTCATTTGCTTTTTACTGCCTTGATAGAAGTCCTTTTGGGTTGAGAAATAGAAAGAGGCCAAATTAGGAAAAGAAGTCAAGCCAATGGCTTTTACCTCTGCTATTTTGGAACCAGATGCAGTGAAACTGAGCTCTGTGTGTGTTGGGCACATAGATGTTTATTACCGGCTCACCAGTGGTAAGAGCAAAGAGCTGTCCAGCATGGTTCACTCAAAGAGGACAGGAATTCTGCACCTTCATTTCAGACCTGAAACTGAGCGTGATTATGTTTCATGTGAAGTAACTTATTGGATTTCTGGCTGCTCCAGTATTAAAACCTTATGAATTTAGATTGTGGCTGAACTAGTTTTTAGAAATTAGTAGAAAAGTAGAGGGAAGGATTTAAATCACCTGAAAAGGAGGTGTGAGAGACAGTGCAATGGATTCCCTGTTTAGAAGCAAAATGCAGTTACCTGTAATTTATTCTTCTGGCTTTATTCAAACTCACAGTGGTTGTAAAGTGAGAGTAATTCTTTGCTATGGATTATTTTCAATTATCCACTAGCCGTATTTGCATCCGCTACATGCATAATAGCACGACTTTGGACAGGTTGTACCATCTCTCCAAACATCACTTTGATTTTTCTCTAAAGCATAAGTACTTTTCCCCGAGATTATTTGGTTGATTAGATAATGAATCTAAGATTTTTGTATCAAGTTCTAAGTATTCTAAGCTTCAATGGGAATTAACTATTGCTGAGATTCATCTCAAAATTAAATTAGCTTGACACTGGATCTCTACATAAATATAAACATTTAGATTTTATACTTGAGACACAAAGTTTTGAAGGACATATATCTTACACTGCACTGCAGGTTTTACTAATTCACTCCTCTCTCTCTTCTCTCCAATGAGCTTGAAGTAGGATTACAATACATGAATGTACAGGCTGTCTTTTGTCTATTTTTAGATAAGCACAACACTTTCATAAAGATTTTAGAAAATTTTATTTCATTGACAATTAATTATGTAAAAGTACTAATTAAGCAACACAGTGTAGTAGAGGAAAGAATTGAGAATTTGGATCCAAGAAGCCCAGCTTCTAAACTGATCTTCTAAATACAGATCAGTTTGTCTTAGGGAAAATTAATCTGTTTGGTTTTCAGTTTATTCTGACTTGCAAGGAAAACAAATTGTGCCAATGATTTCATTTCAAAGACAATTTTAGTTATCAAATTATGGTTCTGCAATAAACTCAGAACAACTCTATTTTCAAAATTATATCTTGTATCTACAGGCAATGCTGAATCTTGTGTCTTTGCTTCTGATTATTTCCCCATCCAGTAGCAAAGAAAATATGATTGCTTTTATTTTGAAGTTAATTTTTCCCAAATCTTGAGATCTTAATTTGTCAGATGACTGACTGTAAAAGATAATTTGTTCCATTCAGACAGAACAGTCTCCTTGTCTCTGAATAGAACAATCTCAGCCATCTGAGAAAGACCCTACACTTCCTATGATGTTTTTTCTAAAGAAACTTACACAGCTTATTATGAAAACCAACTTTTACCATCATAGGAACAGCCACACCTTTGTTTTAAAAATAAATTGAAAGGAAATGCTGCCAGACAATTTTAACTAAAAAGGAATTTTGCTTTGTCTTTCTTTTTAAAAGCTTTTCTTTTCAACAAACATTTTCAAAAATAATACTTTAAGAAAACCAATCTGAACATGTGCTTCAGAAATTCGCATGTTTAAATTTTTTAAGTATGGGAGGTGGCTGAAGAGATGAGTCAGGGGTTAAAAGCACTGGCTGCTCTCGCAGAGGACCCTGGTCTGATTCCCAGCACCCATGTTGCTAACGACCATTCCTTAACTCCCGTTCCAAGGGATCTGACGCCCGCCTCTGGCCTCTACAGGCACTGCATGACATGGGTACACTTGTAGGCAATACACTCAGAATCATATAATAAAAGTAAATACATTTTTAAAACATTTAGAAGAAACTTCTGTGTTTATTAGTACAATTAAATCAATTTAATAAAATGTCCTAACTTCACACATCCCAATCTAGAATGGAGACACCTCATAGTAAGGGGAAACTAAAGGTGACATGGAAAAACAGAACTTGTCCCTGTGCACCTGGGACTATCAGAGCTTGGATTATGAAAAGGGAGGTTCCTGGTGTTTTATTTAGATTGTTGATTCCATTCCTGGAAGCAGATGAAAGCTCAAATAATGCAGTGAGAGCATCAGGATTTCCCAACTCCCATTTGAATAATACCAGCCACCATCCAATAATTTGTCTGCTTTTTTGTAATGGAATGTTCTTGTTTCCACTTTTACTGTAACTTTACCTCAAAAATAATTCCATTGACAAGGACATGGAGAGTTCGCCATGTGGTTAGATTACAGTGTTTTTCCACGTAGTGGTAATTACTTAATGAGGCACTGATTATATAGTTCAATAGATATTTGATTCTGGACTATATCACCCATACTTGGTGAAGTAGGCAATGAAATGAAGAAGAAATACAGGTTCTTAAACTCTGCTTTCATCATTTTGTGACTTTCTTTTTGCTTAGTTTGCCTTATTTGACCCTTTTTTTCTCTTTCTCAGTCAAAGGCCTGGCCTGAGTTGCCTCACAAACACTTAACGTTACATGCCACTAATGTGTTGGGGGCTCTCTACTTCTCTTCTCTTCTTCTCTTCTGGAGAAGTAACATTCTGAACCTGCTACAGTTTACTGTCAAAGGTATCCAGTCATCCATCCAGCTACCCCATGGGGTCAGTAGAGGAAGACCTGGGACTGTTCCTGACTTTGGCCAACAGAAGCTATTCTGGAGATGGAGGCAACGAGGAAACCGGCTGAGGCAACTGCAGAAAATCCTTACAAGAACAGAGCTTAGTCTCTTTCTACACCACAAAAAAATTCTACTACATGTTAAAACACTGTGGTATGAATTCAGCTGTTCTGGAATATTATTTCAGACATACTCCTAGTGTTCAATTTGCTAAAACACATTTTATAACATTAACATGAAGCATATAAGATAAAGTTCTTTTCAAGTTCTTTTATAAAATATAAAAAAGAGAGAGAGTAAAGGGTCTAAATTAGCTCAGAGACTTCTAATAAATGATATCCATATAGAACCAGTGAGATGGACCAGTGGGAAACACACTTGTTCTGGGAGCCTGAAGTCCTGAGTTCAGTTCTCAAAGCCCACAGTGGAATGAAAGAAGCAACTTCTGAAAGCTGTCCTCTGACCTTCACACCTGTGTCAAGGCACTCATGCATGCGTGTGTGCACACACACATACACACAGACACACTAATATCCATACGTGTTTATACTGACGCTCTGAGAACCCTGAGGCAACATGCTAATACCTATGCTCAGGTTCCAGGCTGTGCTTTTATTTTGCAGTTTCACAGTATTTTACTATCTTTGTGGTTTAATTTTCATGTAGTTCCTTATCTACCATTTTATTATCTTAATTAAAAAATGTGCTAGATCATTAAGTGCTTCATCTTTCACTTAGATGATTTTGCATGTAATTATAAGAAAAAAGAATGGAAAACTTTTCAGTGATTCCCACAAATGACATGGAGAGTTACCCACATTTTATAGTTAATTAGCTTAGTTGGGAGATTAATTAATTTCTATGTGGCCTGTATAAAAGATAGATTTCCAACATGTGCCTATAAAATTATTCATAAAAACTCTTATTTTACAAATAAAAGATGGATTTGAACACACAGACAAAAATCTCACATCTGAAACAAAACTTCAGGTGTACAATAATCATTGTAGGACCGACTTGGTTTGTATTTAAACTAAAATGATAACTTTTTCAAGCATATTAGCCACATTCACTCGTCACAATTTAGAACTTCAAATATCTGCAAAAGTCATATTAAGATCGTTTGGCATGTGGATATGGTATCGTGCATCGCTAATCCCAATGCTCTTAAAGAGACATGGGAGGCAGAAATCAGAGCAACCCTGGAAATTATGTTCTAACTGGCTTGATACATGCAGTGACAAAATAGCAAAACAACCCTGCTGCAAACAAGTTGGAAGGCAGGGACCAACACCAGAGGTTTTCCTTCGATCTCCACATGCGTACAATATGAGTGTACATACCTACAAACACGCAGATTTTTCAGCAGACTGTTTGGCATGGTGTGGTATCCGTTAGTGTTTGCAGCCATGTGACAGCCCTGTCATTTGTTTCTGTTCTGTTTTGTTACGCATTGTCATGTTCATGAGGGAATTACAGAATTTTATTTGCAAAATCCAGGCAGCGGTTCCACCACTGCCTGTTCATTCTCCAAGGTAATGACCCTGAATAAATCTCTGACAACCAACGGTGCTGTAGCGACGAAGGCTGGATCTGTGGCAGCTACAGTGTTAACCTAACTAGCTTTCATTTTGCATCTTTACAATTCCCATTTCCTTTCTCTACGGAAATAATAGATCCTCCTGCCCATGTTGATGACCCTGTGAGCTCTTCTGACACAGCAGTAGTCTGTCAGTGATGCTGTTAATAATTTTTCATGTTCTTTCTCTCTTCCTTTTTAGTCTCGACCCATCCCTTCCCACCTTACTTCAGCAGTTGCAGAGAGCATCTTGGCTTCCGCCTGTGAGAGTGAGAGCAGAAATGCTGCGAAGAGGGTGCGTCTGGATAGACCCCAGGTACAGAGCCATGCTGGGCTGCTGTGCCCCGTCACAGTGCTGGGCTACTGAGCCCAGGCACAGTGCTGGGCTGCTGTGCCCAGTCATAGTGCTGGAGCTGCTGTGCCCGGTCGTAGTGATGGAGCCGCTGTGCCCAGGTGTAGTGCTGGGTTGCTATGCCCAGGCACCGTGCTGGGCTTCTGGGCTCAGTCACAGTGCTGGGCTGCTGTGTCCAGTATAGTGCTGGGATGCTGTGCCCAGTCGTAGTGCTGGAGCTGCTGTGCCCGGTCGTAGTGATGGAGCCGCTGTGCCCAGGCACCGTGCTGGGCTTCTGGGCTCAGTCACAGTGCTGGGCTGCTGTGTCCAGTATAGTGCTGGGATGCTGTACCCAGGCATAGTAATGGAGCTGCTGTGCCCAGTCATAGAGCTGGGTTGCTGTGCCCAGTCACAGGGCTGGGGCTGCTGTGCCGAGTCACAATGCTGAGCTGCTATGCCCAGCCACAGAAAATGCAGTTAATTGATATGAGGCGTTTAGCCTCTTGAATGAATCTAATACATGCAGAGATTGTTCTGACCACATGCAATGAACTTGAAGTTGAAAAATGTTATGTTCTTATGATCCATGGAAATCAAACCCAAGAATTCTGTGGTGTGAAAGAAGCATGAACAAAATTCAGCTTTGCCTCAGTTAGTAGCACCTAGAGCCTAGTTAAGAGCTTCTGGCTGACAGTCTGTCAGGTTTGTCAGGACTTTTCATATCTACCTCGTCATTTATGACAGAGATCAGATAGTGTTCATCTCGAATGAAGATGAACTTCTCAATTTCCTCTTGTCTGTATTATGATATAATTCTAGACCACTGCAAGATGGTTTGCTCTACTAATGCCAATAGATTAGGCTGACAGTAATGAAAATGAAACATAACTCTGAAAGATTACAGGTCATACATGGGGACCTTATCTGATGGAAATCTGTGTCCTGGGCTTACTTGTCTTGTTAATTAATCATCTACTGAATACCCATTGAGTACCATGTTCCTATGTCTCCTTCCTGAGATTCCATCAGTGTGGTATGATGTGCACATATAACACTCTTGTTTATTGCTGGTTCACTAGGCCTTTCTTTTAGTTTGTCTGTTATCTTTCTGTCTCCTCTTCATGTCTAAGGAACAGAATTCTCTTCTTTTTAAAAATTATTCTATTCATTTATTTTTTGTGTATGAGTGTTTTGCCTACATGTATGTGTCCACAGAGACCAGAAGAGGGAGTTGAATCCAGTGGAACTAGAATTAAGGACAGTCATTAGCTGCCATATGGCTGCTGGGAACTGAATCCTGGTCCTCTGCTAGAGCATCAAATGCTTATACCTACTGAGCGATCTCTCCAGCCCCAAGAATTCTCTTCTTTTCCTGTCTTCCTTTCTTAATTAGTCATAATATTTAAAACTCTTTTTATAAATTACAATGTTATACTAAATGCTATTCACAAAGGCTTGCTGTGTTCTGATTCTTAAGTTATGTTACAACTAATAAACTAGATACTTCATACTTCCCACTGAAATTGAAATGAGTAGAGATTACATTGTTAGTCTAGTTTCGTTTTTCCTGTGAACCAGTGGGCTTCAAGTAAGAGAAAGTGTTCTATTTCGGGATTAAAAGACTTTTTAACTGTTTCAGAATGACATCATTTTTACGTATTTATTATTATTAAAATTCTGAGCATTTCAAAGGATGAGACCTATAGTTAAACAAAATGCAATATTAATGTCGAATAAAAGTATGAGAAAAATGCCAATTTTGAATTCATTGACAATGACATTTAGCATATATTCACACGTCCACATCCTCAGTTTAGAAGTTTGTCAGTACTGTAATAAACAAAATGCAATATTAATGTCGAATAAAAGTATGAGAAAAATGCCAATTTGAATTCATTGACAATGACATTTAGCATATTCACACGTCCACATCCTCAGTGTGGAAGTTTGTCAGTACTGTAACTGTGCAATTCATCTTAGATGGTTTCAGTGCAACACACACTACCCTCTGGCATCATGGGTAGGTGGTGCATTCTGGGGGTGAATTCACCTCATTTGACTTTCTTCTGTACTGTTACTGATTTGATGGAATTCGGGAAGTTATGCTTCAGTTTCTCCAGGAGAAATAAGCAGTGATAACAGCACTAATCCTAAGGGGTTGATGTGAGAACCTTTAACAGTGGCTCATGTTTCACACTTAGCATTTTTCCTGGTGCAAAGTAAGGACCAATAAACCTGATCAGAAGACTCATGTCTAGCTCTTTTATCATAACCTTGGTAGTGGTGAGCCTAGAAAAATGCATCAGTATTTCTCTGATGTAGGAGTGCCATGTCAAAGTTCATTTGTAAAAGGATTTCATTTCTAAACACTGAAATAGTAGACGTCTGGAACCCAAAGGGCTCTCCTGCTTACCATGTGCCCACATATGCCACCAAGTGACTCTAGAATATTCTATAATAGTATCAGACATATAGAGATCTGTTGTGAAAAGTGGCAGGTTCATGCTATATTCTTATCTATATTGTTATCTCTAGCATCAGACCTGGTTACCCACTGGTATGTGTTCAGATCACTTCATTTTATGGAAAAGGCACAAGCGATGCTGACTGTTTGGTAAGGCTGCTTTGTGCACACAGGGCACATACTCACTGCTCATTGTTACATACACACTCACTATCTGCTCCTCAGGCGAGGATGGGAGATGCCAATGTTCCTTGAGCCTACTACTCAACTTTGCTGTGTTACACTGTGTGCCAGACACAGTGGTTGCCTCCTGAAAGGCTTGCTCCTTTGTAATGGGGAGATGCCCACTATTACGTACCTGTAGGAATGTTCTTTCCAGGCCCTAAACAAGTTCAGATGTCTTGCGATTTGTGTGTGATAAGGAAGAAGTCGGTGTTTAAAATTGCATACTATGGGCTCTGAAGATGCCTTAGGTGGTAAGTGAGTACCCAACTTTGATCCACAGAACCCATGTTTAGAAAATAAAAGGCCAGGTGTAGTGGCACACAAAATCCCAGTGAAACCCAGTTCTGGCAGAGACAAGCAGACCCCTTGTGCTCGGTGACCAACCAGCGTAGCCTACTTGGTGAGTTCCATGTCAGTGAGACCTTGTCTCAAAAACCAGGGGTGGATGTCACTGACAAACACCTGAGGTTGTCCCTTGACCTCCACCTTCATATGCATGCACCCCCACCTACACACACATGGGCATGCTGGCACACATATGCACAAAAATCAATTAAATAGTTAATTGCATCCTATGATTCTAGAACCAATTAGACACTTTACAAACACAACCATCCCATTAATTTGTTGTAACATTCTCATGAAAATAAATCAGGGCTCAGAGAGGTGAGATGAGTCAAGCAAGGTTAAAACTGCAGAGGCAGTCACCTACAAGTTTACATACCCTTGAGGTGACACATAGATGCCTTCTGTCATCCTATAGTGTCTTCTTATTGGTTAAAGACAAGTCATATGCCTGATTATCACCTTGAATGATGGCTCAGCACCTATAATTAGCATTTCAAATATTTCTAAGGCATTTCTTCTTATCACCAGTTCTGTAGACCTCACTTCAGATACTGCACAAAGATGCTAGCATATGATGCTTCTCCCTGCTGTGGAGTACAGCAAGCCCTTTCATAGATGCTCCAAGCTCATGCGCAGTTCTTTGCTGGTCTTTGTAATAAGATCATGCTTTCTGTGAGTACTCAGAACCCGACTCACAATTCTTAAAATCACCAATGGTTCAGAGATTTTTCATTAGTTCCAGACGCTCTGTAAAGGCCTAAAAGTTCAAAAACTGAAAGGTTAAAATCTGTCTTCTGTTAAGCCCCACCCCAACCCCTTGCTGCCCCTGGTTAGCCACATGGAGAGCTATAATTATGTATGTTATGGGTGTGTTAAATACTTTATTTCAAATGTCCATTTCATATTGGAGTCCAGAGGAAATGTGCTATGCAGCTGCAGCCCCAAAGCCAGCCAGCAGCAAGGCCAGGATCCTAGTCCTTCATCAGGAATCAGTTCACAGAGTAGAGGTGAATCCCTCACACATGTTGGGACATGGCCAGCGTTGTTATCCTACTAACATGAAAATCTGCAATTTGTACATGAGCTACAAGAAATCCTCCAGTTTGGCTATTCAAAAAGAGGAGCAAAGCTGGCCTTCAGTTTACAGAAGGTTTTTCTCCACTCTCTTTGCCTTTTACGTTCCTTCTTTTCTTCACTGTTTTTTCTCTTCTAGTTTTGTTTGGCTTTGTTTTGCTTTTATGATGAATTCTTTGAGAATTCCATACAATGTATCCTGGTCATATTCACTCTCCTTCCCTAACTTCTCCCAGGTCTATCCCACCCCTTCCTTATCACCCAACTTTGTGTCTTCTTCTAATTTTTAATATTTTATTTATTTTTAATTTTATGTGTATGCGTGTATTGCCTGCATGTAGGTAAGTGCACCTGTGTCGTACAATGCCTGTGAGGATAGAAAAGGCTGTTGGATCCCCTGGGACTGGAGTTACAGACAGTTTTTAGCTGCCATGTGGGTGCTGGGATTCAAGCCCAGGTCTCCTGCAAGAACAGCCAGTGTTCTTAACTGCTGGGCCATCTCTTCAGGCTGCTGCTCCTCCTCCTCCTCCTCCTCCTTCTCCTCCTTCTCCTCCTCCTTCTTTTTTTTTTAATTCCTAGAGTCTAGTTTGTGATATCCAGGTAGTTTTGGTGTCTGGATACCAAACAAAAAGTGTCAACCTACCAGAACCCACACTCTTAAAGAAAATCTCTCTCTCTCTCTCTCTCTCTCTCTCTCTCTCTCTCTCTCTCTCTCTCTCTCTCTCTCATGTGTGTTTACTTTTCATCAAGGTGAGCATAGAGTCATAATGCAGGTAAGTGCATGATTCTAGTGGGCATCTTAAAATATCAGAAGTAGGGGCTGGAGAGATAGCTCAGTGGTTAAGAGCAACAGCTGCTTTTGCAGAAGACCTGA